GCGTCCCGAGGGCCCGGGCGGTCCTGCTCGGCCTCTGTGAAGGTGAGGGGAACCGGTCGCTGCTCTCTGGGGCTCAGACGTTCTAGGAGGTGGTGTCATTTGGAAGGTGACCTCCAGCAGCCGCCCAAGCGTCCTCTTTCCCGTCACACAGGTGGAGAAGCACGTGAGCGATGCCGTTTCCAAAGGGGCCACCGTGGTGATGGGCGGGAAGCGACACCAGTTCGGAAAGAACTTCTTCGAGCCCACGCTGCTCAGCAGTGTCACCAAGGACATGCTCTGCGCTCACGAAGAGACGTTCGGGCCTCTGGCACCCGTTATCAAGTAAGACCTAGCCCTCAGGAGGCCCCGGGAGGGAAGGGGAACTGCAACCTGGGAGAGATGGCCCAGCTAGTCTGGGGGCCGGGGGGCCAGAGCTGCACAGAGCAGATTGACGCACAGGCTTCAACCTTTAAACTTAGGAAACAGAATTTACCTGCTTCTTGCTTTCTGCTGAACGCCGTCCTCCTCCTCCTCCTCCTCCTCCTCTTCTTTCCGTCGCTGTTGGTACTGGAGATTTAACCCAGGGGTGCTTTACTCCTGAGCTATGTCCCAGCCCTTTTTATTTTTTATTTTGAAACATGGTCTAACTAAGTTGCTTAGGGCCTTGCTAAATTGCTGAGGCTGACCTCAAATTTGTGATCCTCCTGCCTCAGCCTCCTGAGCTGCGGGGATTACAGGAGTGCACCACTGCCCGGCCTTCCTCCTCTTCTTAATGGAGAATGTCCTCTGAGGGCTCTTCCATGGCAGTCTGTAGGGAATGGACAGTCAAGTGACCTCCCGGGATCTTTCACCTCATGTTGACGAGTAAATAGTGGTTTGTGGATGCCCTCACGGGTGCTGCAGTGACTCTGGTTGGTGCCCAGGGCTTCTTCAGGCTGCCTTCTGATGCCTTTCTTTGGTATCTAAGGGGTCTGTTCAGTGCTGTTTCTCCCTTCCTTGTCCTTCCTGCCCTGACCCTGTGACCCACACGCCCCGGCTCACTTCACTCCTACTCTGCACCAGCCCTGCTGCCGCCCTCGAGGCCCCTCCCTCCGCAGGCTGGGGGTTCAGGGGCACCCCGGCTCTTCTAACTGGTGCCCCCCGGTCCCCACCTCGACAGCCCTCTCCCCACCCGGCTCCTCCTGCTTCGCACTCTCTCACCTGCTGTAGGTTTGTCCTTTTCTGACGTTGTCACCTGCTGTCCTGTGGGGTCTTCCCTTCCTCTGATGTCTCGTGACTCCCTGTGAGCTCATCTCTCGCCCCTTGCTTGGGCTGTGGTCAAAGCTCAACCTCTGTGTGTGCTCAGGCTTGGAGGGCAAAGCCTCGCACCCCAGGGAGGGGGAGGACGTCTTGTGTTAAATCCCCAGCCGACACCCCTGCCCCTCGCGACCCCCCAGGGCTATTTTGCAGTTGCCTCTAATGGACCAGGGAAAGGAGCCTGCTGGCCTCTGCCTGTTTTGCACTGGCTGGTGTGCCAGCTGGGCTGGGCACTGGCTCAGTCCCTGCTGCCCCTTGGTACCTAGCGCGGACCCAGAGCCAGGCCTGCAGATGGGACCAGCTCACAGTCACAGGAGTGGGGGAGGTGCAGCCCACGCCCGCTCCCCAGGCCATGTTCCCCCGGAGCTGTGCCTGGAGCCGTGCCCTGAGCCGCTGTGGAGGCGTTTTGTGAGCCCTGGTTTCTGTCCCTCCTCGGGCACTTCCAGCTTTGGCCCTCAGCCGCGCTCCCCTGGCTGTGCCGTCTTGTCCAGGGCCCGGGGTCTGTCTTCTCTCCCCTCTGCCAGCCTGTTGCCATCTTGCTCATGAAGTTTCTCCACTGTTGGAGAAAAGGGTCACTTCTTTGTTTTAATGACAGCGTTTGCCCTAGAATGAGGACTGGACGCTTTCTCAGGAAGCCGGAAGGATGCCTTGGCTACAAACGCAGGCTGTGCCGCCTCCTCCCAGCACCCCCGCTGCCCGCCCCCAGGTTAACTCTTCTGGGTCAGCCACCAGCCCTGCAGAGACTGCGGCCCGCCCCGCTGACAGGCTTCTAAAATTAGAATCGGGATGCTTAGAAACTGTGGCAGTAGCAATTCTGGAGTGACAGAAAATTACCACTCCAATCTTGTTCCGAAATAAAATGGTGGCGCTGGGAGAGCCCACGGGGGCCCTGACACGGTCATCAGAGAGGAGCGACGCTGGGCACAGCCCCACGGCCAGCTCAGTGGTAACGGGTGGCAGAGCCCCCTGGGAACCTGGCCTGGGTCTCTGAAGGGGGCTTTCTGCCCTGTTGGGCCTGCTTCTGCGCAGCGTGGTGGTCACCCCTCTGGGGAGCCCCCAGGCCAGGACTCCCTTCCCGTGGGACGCTGTCTGGTGGTACTCCCTGCCTCCGCTGTTTCCTTTTCTCCTAGAAGAGACGAGGGTCCACTGGAGGGTGCTGGCCGTGAACGCCGAGTGGCCTCGGCGATTGCTGCCGCTCTGAGCCCTGGGGTCCCTTTGCGGAACTCGGACCCCTTGCCCTGATCGGGGTTCTTCATCCTCCCCCTAGAGCTTGCTGCTGACCGGCTTTCCCTCCGGCAGGTTCGACACGGAGGAGGAGGCCGTCGCCATTGCCAACGCCACCGAGGTCGGGCTGGCAGGTAGGTGTCTGCCTGGTCTGCCCTGTCATTCCTGGGCTCCAGCAAATGCCACACTGTCTTAGACACCACTGTGGGCTTCGAGAGGGACACTGCAGCAGGGTGTGTGTGTTTTCCAAGTGGCGAGGGTGGCTTTGTGCTGCTCACGGCTCTCTGTCCCCCGTGGCCCACATGGGAGCCGTGATTGGAGCTGGGGAGCAGTGGAGAGGAGACCAGTGCAGGCGTTGAGGGTGGAGGTCACACCCACCTCCGAAGTCTCGGGTTCTCAGAGGCACGATGCCCAGAAACGCCAAGCGCTCTCTCTTCATTTGGCCCCACGCCTAAAGCCCACACAACTAGGTGGCCTCTGACCCTGGGCCTCGGCAGAAGTGTCCTTCCTCGGCAGAGGAAGGAGCGAGAGTGTCTGCAGCTGGCCTTGTGGACGGCTGCTGCTCAGTCTAGACATGGCCGGGTGCCACAGCATGTCCCTGTAACCCCGGGAAAGTCAGTGTTGGCGTCCACAGTGAGGCCGAGCTTCCTGGAGGCCGAGCTGTGGCGCTGCGGATGCCCCTTGTAATGGGAGGAAGAATAAGCCTCTGTGGTCTCCTGGCCACGCCGCACCCAGGTCAGCTCCACGGTAACTGGAGCGAGGCGTCTGCCCTGGGCTTCTGGAGCGCGTTCCGTCCTCCCTCTTCCCTCCCAGTGGGATGAAGGTGCGGGAAGCCTCACCCCGTACGAGGTCGAGAACGAGGGGCAAGATCACTGTGCGGTTTGTGGGGGAGAGAGCCGGCAGAGGGAACCCGGGAGATCAGGAGCAGAGTAAGAAAGGGTAGGAGGACTTGGTGGGGAGTTCGGAGACACGGTTAGTGACAGGCCTAAGAGGTGCCAGTTCAGCCCCCATGGGGAGAGCTGACCATCCACCGAGGACGGAGCCGTGTTGCATGGTCGACGAGGAGGGGAGGGGGTGTGGCAGGGAGTGTGTGGCCACCTGGCCAGTGTGCGGGATGGCAAGGAGCAGAGAGAGAGCCCGGCCAGCAGGGAACAGAAGCAAAAGGGGATTTCTGGTGCCAAGATGAGGAGGGCACGGGACCCACTGGGGTTTTCCAGGGAGCGGTAGGACTCAGGCAAACAGTGGTCAGTGGGCCTCAGCTTCAGTCGTGTCTCTGACGGACGCTCCACGGGTCACCTGTGTCCTTTCCTCCCGCCACAGGCTACTTTTACTCTCAGGACCCTGCCCAGATCTGGAGAGTGGCAGAGCAGCTGGAGGTGGGCATGGTGGGCGTGAACGAAGGGCTCATCTCCTCCGTGGAGTGCCCCTTCGGTGGGGTCAAGCAGTCTGGCCTGGGGCGCGAGGGCTCCAAGTACGGCATTGACGAGTACCTGGAAGTCAAGTACGTGTGCTACGGAGGCCTGTAGCTCCTCGCTGGTGGAGATCATAAAGGAGGCTCACCCACGCTCGGGACCTGCCCTGCTTTCATGAGCGGCTCGGTCATTAGAGTCATGACTTCTCACTCACGCGCAGCCAGTCTTCGTGGTCTTTAATCAGAGGCAACCCCACCCTGCCATCTCCTCACGAGGGACCAACACAAGCCGCCCACCTGTGGCTGCAGACCCCAGAGAGCCAGGCCGGGGCCTGCAGAACAAGCCGGAGGACTCCACGTGACCCCTCCACCTGAGGGCAAGGCGCAGTGCCCAACAGATCCGCCCTTCGGGGCCACATAGCCAACCCCTGCCTGGCAGGGGGCACGGCTGGCTATCAGCGTGAGCCCAAAGTGCTTGCACGGAGCCCCCGGAGTACCATCAGCAGTGGGTGGGCCCAGTATCCCCTTCCCCAGCCAGCTGAGCCCTGGAGGTACTGTGTGTCCAGAGGGGCTGCGGCCGAGGCTGGGGGTCACCGTTGAGAGCGTTCGACTGCAGCGGGAATCGCCTGTTCCACCGTGTGGTGCAGGAGCGCGTCTGTCCCAGGTCCGTGTGTAGACGGGAGCCTTCCTTGCCCCTGGTCCTGCCTCAGCTTCACGTTGCTCCCCAAGCCCACGCTGAGAGCAGGATTGGCGGAGGCGGCTCGTGCAGTGGAGCCTTGCCACCCTCCTGCTCCTGCCCAGGAGCACACCTGAGTCCAGGTCGGCGTCACTCAGGTCACCTGGGCCTGAGCGGAAGTGACTTGCAAGACAGGGAATGTGCAGCGTAAGCACGGAGCCACCTGTGAGCAGCAGCGCTGCCCTGCACTGGGCCCAGAGAGGCGCACCCACCCACCCAAGCCCAGCCCATCTGTCCTGGTGCCATGCACTCTTGCACTTCCAAAGGGAAAAAGCACCTTCACCACCGTCATCTCAAAGGAACAGAAGGTGCCAGTCCACGGTGTGGAGGAGGTGTAAGACCTAGGATTTCAGGCACCTTTTACCTAGTAACCCCATTTACAGTTCAGCATACGAACCACCCCTCAAATTCCCTGTGACTAGTGTTGTTGCTCACTCTGAAGGGAAACCTGGCCGTTCCAGCTCCTTCCTCCCCTTCTCTTTATGCATAGAGGCCCCTCAGTTCACTGGTAGTAGCAGGGAGACATGAATGAAAACAGTGCTGGATGCAGCTGCTCCTGAGCTCCACCCAGCACCCTTCACTGAGCACAGGCAGCTGCAGCTGAGTAACCAAGTGCAGAAAGTCCCACGCACACAGGATGCCTCCAGTCCTGCAGCTGCTGCACACCTGGCTGGGGTAGTCCTTGCCATGTGCCCAACCCCAAAGGAGAATCAGAACTCTGCCTTCTAGTGACACTGCCCAGGCCTGTCAAGAGGCGCGCCCAGCACATTGTCAGCTAATTTCTGCTCCTCGCTGTACAGTGTTTGGTGGTTTTATAGAACGCCCTCATTGCTTAAGGTTCCTGTGCATCCATCCTTTTTCCTAATAAGAAAGCAAATGCCCTGGTGTTGTTTTTAGAAGTAGAATACCAATGCTGAAATGTCCAGAGGAAAACCTTAAAACACACTTTCAGCCCTGTAAACAGGGAGAAATTTTGAGTTTTCTTGCATATTTGGCCTGCTAGATACATAAATCGAGGCCAGAGACTCACTGTAATCTCCATGATCAATTCTGTAGTTAATAGTTTGGGGTGGGGCTGGGGTTGTGGCTCAGAGGTAGAGCCCTGGGCTAACATGTGTCAGGCACTGGGTTTGATCCTCAGCACCTTGTAAAAATAAGATAAAGGTATTTTGTCCACCTACAATTTAAAAATATTTTTTAAAAATAGCTGGGGTGCTGGGAACTTTGACTCAGTGGTAGAGCTCAGCATCAGCATGCTTGAGGCCCCGGGTTCAGTGCCCAGCACCACCAAAAGAAAAAAAAATTTTTTTTGAAAAAGAAATAACTTACTGTTAAGTAAAATGGTTCCGGGTTGCGGGATAAAAGAGAAGTGTGTGGGTTTTGGGGTTTTGTTTGTTTTGAGATAAAGTCTCACTGTGTTGCCCAGGCTGGCCTCAAACTTCAGAGCTCAAGTGATCCTCCAGCCGCAGCCTCCCAAGTAGCCAGGACTCAGGCATGCGCCATCACGTCCATCTAAAAGTCATTTTAAATGAATGTTTTGTTAGTTTTCAGTAATTATGTGGATAGATGATATATATGAAATATATGAAATAGAAAAGGACCACTAGACCAGGGTTGGCAAACCATTCACCAGATGTGACCTGCCAGCTGCTTTTGTACAACCCATGAACTGAGAATGTGTTTGTATTTTCAAAAGATGGGGGAAACGCACAGCAGCAGTGTTTCATGACGCCTGGAAACTGTAGGGCATTCAGGTCTCAGTGGAATCTTCCTGGAGCGCAGCCACAGCCGTCCTGTGTGTTGTGGTCTGTGGCCTCTGGCCTGGCAGCGCGGAACAGGAGAAGGTGGCGAGCCGAAATAGTTACTAGTTAGCTCCCCCAGGAATGCCCAGGGGCCGTGCCGACCTTCCTGTCACTGTTGGCAGCCCTAGGTGCCTGGGCTTCTCTCCTGGCTCCCCCGGGTTCTCAGCAGGGACTCCCCGGCAGTTACCTCCTGACTCCAAGGCCTTGAAAGGACACCTCTGACTTCCCTCCTCCAGCTGGGCAGCTTTCCCCCTGTAAGAGCTGACCCTGTCTGTGCCTCTGTCCGTGTGGATCTTTATTCCTAACGAGGGCTGCGTGAATAAAGATCAGAAGCACCACGTGGACAAGCCTATTTTACTGTGAACGGACACAGGAACTTGAACCTGAAGTTCAAGTTCTGTGGGATTCTTTCCCCTGAAGGCAGGAGGTGGTGTCATTAATTACCCTCCATCAGCTAGTTCCTTAGCACTCTACTTGAATAATACTTAATGCTGTGATTGTGCCGTGCTGCACTTTGTGGGCTAGAACCCGGGAGTAAGTGTTAGTGTGAAACACGTGAACCCTTTGGTTTCTAAACGCGTGCCCATGACTTGTTTTCTCGCCTCTCTCTGCAGCCAGCAGACTTCATGTGTGTTGCCAATAAATGCTGAATTCGCACAGCTCCCAGAGTGTTGAGAGGCCTGGAGGTCTGTTTGGTTCTCTCCCTTGGCAGGTCACTGTTTTTGCTGGACAGTCCTGGGCCAGCGTGGACGTCGTAGATAACTCCTTCCCCGCAGACCGCTCTCCCCTGAACCCCTGAAGGAGGGCTTTGTGCCCAGGGCATGTTTGCTGACCTGGTCTGAGAACCCCGCGGCAAGTCAGGTGCTGCCCGGATCCGCCCGTCTGTCTTCCACACACCCCACGACCAACCGCTTGTTCAAGGGCTGTTTCTGGTTTGGGTTGGGGAAAGCACAGGACCCCGTGGTGTCCACATGTGACCTCTGTGTGTGACTAACAGTGCCTGAGGTCTGTTTCCGGATCTAGAAACAGCACCACAGATGGGACAGATTGCATAGCTCATTTTGGCTCTGGTCCAAGTCTGGTCCAAGGTCAAGGGCTGCATCTGGTGATGGCCCTCCCTGCGGGCAGAGTTCCTGGCAGCTGGGTATCACATGACAAGAGACCTACCCAAGCTGGCTTTTAGAGCAGACGTGCAGAGCGGTCCACCCTGGAGGGTAGAGCCTAGTCACGGGGGTCCCCCTCCAGGCCTGCAGGCCCCGCCTCCTGGAGCACCGGGAGAGAACGTCCCCTGGGAGCCGGAGGAGCCCTGGACAACCCACGTCAACACCCCTTCGGTTCCAGGAGCGGGTGTCGACCCGCCTTCCATTGCTGAGGCAAACACCCAGGGTAACCAACAAGAGGAAGGATCTTGACTCACAGTTTCGGAGGCGCCCGTCCACGGTCTGGCCTGCTACTTCTGCGCAGTGGTGAGGCCACCGTTAGGGCGGCAGTGCCCAGTGGAAGGAAGCCGTTCACCCAGTGGCCAGGTGCAGAGAGGGAAAGGGGCCCGGTGACTTCCCCACCAGGCCCACCTCCTAAACGCCCCCCCAGATAGTGCCACAGGCTGGGGACCAAGCCTTCAGCGGGACACACACAGGCTGGGGACCAAGCCTTCTCTGGGACACACACAGAAAGCAGTTTGATCCCCAGGGAACTGCCCAGAGCTCCTAGCAGGGTGGACAGTGGCCTAGGGGCCCTTCGTTTGCCCACCTACATAGAGCACTCACTCACCGTGCATGAGGCACTGGGTTTGATCCTCAGCACCACATAAAGTGAAATAAGACTGTGTTCACCATAACTAAAAGATAAATATGACAAAAAAGATTTTTAAAAATTTGGGTACACACAGTATGACTCTATTTTATAGGAAACTCTAGAACATTCAAGCTAATCTGTATTGATGTCTAGGGGAGGGAGGGATTGCAAAGTCCATAAGAAAACTTTCGGGAGTGGACATATCTGCTCCTTGGCCGGACGGTCGTGTTGGATCCACAGGTGTGCACGTACTGCAGAACCTATCAAATCACAAGCCTTAAGTAAGCACAGGTTATTGCAAGTGTGTTGTGCCTCAATACACTGTTTTTTAAAGCCAGCTTTGTTACTGATCCAAGTGCAGGTTAGTACCTGCCACGGAATCTCACCACCACCCCCGGCACTGCCAGCCTTCGCCAGCAGGGGGCAGACGGCCGTCAATGGCAGCGCGGCCTCGGGCTGGGGCCTCAGCTCCTCCCAACCTGTCCCCGGGTGGGAGAAGCAGGGGTCCTGCACTGCAGCCAGGGCTTTCTTGCTCTGTTTCTCTGTAGAAGGTCAGACAGTGAATATTCTAAGAGTTTGCAAACTGTTCTGCCAAGACTTCTTGCCTTGTCCATAGCACAGAGCGGCGTAAGCAAATGCGGGTGGAGGTGTTTCCGTGAGGGTCTCCAGACACAGCCCAGCCTCAGACAGTTTGCGTGATACAAAGTATTTTTTCCCCAGCTGTTTGAAAACACAGAAAACCATGCCCTTGGGCTCCCAGGATGTACAAAACAAGCTGCTGCCCACAGTTACTGGACATCCTGTCCAGGGAAGCCTGCAGCCTGAAGAAAATATATCTCCCCTAAAAATAAGGCTTACAGAAGAGAGGCCCCTCTATTTAATTAGCAAGACGTTTAATAGTGTTACGTTAGAAGGAATATCTTGTCAATGCACTGGGGAGATTATGCATTTTAAAAAATAGAGTCAAGACTTAAAACCGTCCACCACAGCTTGGTCACATAGGAAAGAGGGCCTCTCGCCCTGCCCTCCTGCCAGGGGGGCGTGTCTGTCCCCATGTGCAGTGATAACTTGTCTGACCTCACTGAGTGCTTTTAACAGGTTCTGCTAACAGGCTCAGCCTCTTGGTGCGATGGGAGTGAATCCTGTTCTCGGGTGAGGATTTCTCCCTTGGTTCTGCAGTGCTGGGGACTGAGGCCAGGTCCTGTGTGTGCTGGCTGAGCTGCACCTCCAGCCCTTCTCTTTGTTCACTCTCATGCTGCGACTCGTGAGCGTGTCACCCTGCGAGCCCTGCAGCCGCTCTCTCCCCACCCACAGCTCCTACGACGCTCTGCCTCCTGGGACCCTCGTGAGGAGCAGCAGGAGACAGCGTGCAGGGGGTCGTCCCACCTGGTGCTCTCTCCTCTAGGAGGGATGACAGGGACCCGCTTTCTGGTCACTTTGGTGACGTTTACTTTGGTTTCCCGTAGATTCAAGATTCTTCTGTGGTGGAAGGGTCCCAGAGGCCAGGCTGAGATGGCCAGGACAGAAGGGGTGGAAGGGTCGCAGGGGCCAGGCTGAGATGGCGAGGACAGAGGGGGTGGAAGGGTCCCAGGGGCCAGGCTGAGATGGCCAGGACAGAAGGGTGGAAGGGTCCCAGGGGCTGAGATGGCCAGGACAGAAGGGGTGGAAGCAGCCATGCCAGCTCCAGGGGGCAGTGGCCCAGCAAAGCTCCCGCAGGAGGCCTGGGTGGGCCAGCTGTCCCCTGGCTGTTGTCCTTGGACAAGCCCTTGATAGGACGAGGGCTTCCCGTCAGTCCTAGGAGGACTTTCATGAGTCCCAGAGGCCCCCAGGAGTCGCCCTGCCAGGCAGGACTTCTCCGTGCAGTGGAAGGTGGGCCTTTGCGTTCAGTTCCTGACCCACCGCTTAATCGACTGTGGCCTTGGGCAAGCCAGAAACAAACTTCCTGGCCTTCAAAGGGCTCTCTGAACACAAGAACAGCACTGTCTCCTTCCAGGTTGGCAGCAGGGGTCCACTGAGCCCATGGACATGTGTGTCATGACACAGCAAGGCCCCTACCAGGCTCTGTGACATCGCCCTTGGACTGATGTCTCCTGTGCCAGTGATTTCCAATTAGGCATAAGATCCACTTGACCTGTCACTGGGTAGGGCAGATCTAAGTCTATGATGCTGAATACTGGTGTAAAAAGCATTTCCTTATAATACACAGATGGTATTGAACCTGCTAGTTATACAGAAAATATAAACATAAGAAATCACTACACCAAGAAATTACTGTAAAGGGAAAATTACACTTCTGTACATTTTAGTTCTACTATTCTGCATGAAGTGTGACACAGGAGTCCCCTCTCACCCATGGTTTCACTTTCTGAGGTCAAATGCAGTCTGGAAATATTGAAAAAAAATCAGAAATGAGCAATCCACACTTTTGAGCAGCATGGTGAAATGGCATGCTGCTGCCCTCCATCCAGCCTGAAGTGAACCGCCCTGTGTCCACTGTGTCCGTGCAGTATATGCTACCTGCCCAGTAGTCACTGGGTAGCAGCCAACACCAATGGTCACAGCATCTCATTAGCATGTTAAGGTAACCCCTAGTTTAACTTAACAATGGCCCCAAGGCACAAGAACAGTGAGGCTGGCAATTTGTAAATGCTAATAGAACCCGCAAAATGCTTCCTTCAAGTAAAAAGTGAAAGTTCTTGACTTAGAAGAAAAAAAAAAGAAAGCCCCATGCTGAGAGAGCTTGTGTGGCTTTGTCATCACACCTCGACCTGCAGAAGCCATGACCACCGAGTGTCATGCTCCGCGAGGTGGAAAGGGTTAGATGGCGTGTGCGGCCACGGGAGGACTGGACACCGCACACTCCTGCCTGAGGGTCTCAGAGGCCTGCTTCTCCTCGGGGTGGACAGAGGCATCCCCACCTGCGGCAGGCCAGAGCCTGAGCCACAGGGCAGCGCTGGCTGTCACACTGTGCCACACCCTGTGCCTCCCCACTCCACAGACCTGCCCAGGACCACAGGTGGCTAGGACTGCCAGGCCACAGCCAACTCTAGGTCACGCTCTGGGTGCTGCTCTGTGGGAGGAAAGGGCTGTTTAATAAGACCGATTGGGTCCAAAACCTGTTTAATAAGTATCACTTTTAAGCATGTGAAGTGACTATAGGTCCAGTTATTATGGAAAGTGCCCAGGGGCCCAGAACCTCAGCACCCTGCCACCTGCATGAAGACTGACCGGATCTCAGGACTTTGGCTCACGGGTCACGGGGTGGTCACCGCCATCTGGGGCAGTCCAAACGCCCGGCCGCAGTGAGACTCAATGTTCAGTGAGCTGGTGATTCCACCGAGTGGACAAGGACAGGTGAGACAGGCTCAGCGCCGGCTCTCTCTCAGAGAAGGAGGAGGCGACGTGAGTGCTGCCTTGGGTGTTGGGCCTCCCCTTTCCATGTCCTCAGCTCCTGAGCTTCTGCCTGCCACAGAAGGCTCTCCAAGGTTCCACAGACACACACAGGTGTGAAGCTGCACCTGGACAAGGGCCTCAGCACAGGGCCAGCTTTGGAAACACACAGCTCTCGCCCGCGCGTAGCCTGGGAGTTCCCCGGCCTTCAGGCCCGCTAAGGAGCTTCCCGGTCACAAGAGCCATGTTCCATTCTCAACCCCAAGAACCCCACCTCTTCCTACAGAAGCACACCAGGCCCCTGGGAGAGGATCAGTGTGCAGGGCAAGTGGGCTGGAAGGTGCAGGCCACGGTGGTCCTGCACAATCTCCGGCTGCTGCACTATCTGTCCTTGGAGCAGTAACTGAAGGAAGCCCCGTTCCTGACGGAGCCGTTCCTGGACGCCCGGGGAGGCCCTCTCTCCACCCCTTCCCGGCTGAAGAGGGTGTCCTGCTCGCTGTCGAACTCAGACTCGGACACCATGAGGCTGGAGTTGTGCTCCGTGCTCCGGTGCTTGATGCCTAGGGAGAAGCAGCAGAGGCTCAGAGAGCAGCACCCCTCATAGGAGGAGCCCTGTTCTGCACATTCAGCTCCACTATTCTGGGTGCAGGTCACAGAAGGGGCGTAGATGTGTCCCCTGAACCTTCAGCAGAGCAAGTGCTTGGGGTTCCCAGTGATCAGCAATAGGGACCTTGCTGTCACACCTGAGCTTTGGCAATTCCCAGCTGTGTGACCCTGGGCAAGGTACCCAGCCTCTCTGGGCTTTCATTCTCCTCATCTATCAATTGGGTTTATGGTGAGGATCAAGTGAGAGAGTGCTGTGAATGTCTAGGCCCAGCACTCCGCAGAGTGAGCCCTCAATGAGAGCCGTCACGACTGCTGTATAGTTCAACAGATTTGAGTTCTTGGGGTTAACAGAGGAGCAGAACAGGAAGGAGAGCGATCCCTGCTCTCAGAGAAGGAATAGACAGACAGGTGAGCAGACAGCGCCACAGACGAGAAATAAACACGGACCTCAATCTAGAGGAGTGGCCCCCACCCCGCCCCCGACTGCTCCGGGGCCTTCCATCTAGCGTGGGAGCTGGGCAAGGGGAGGATCTGGCTGGGGAGAAGAGCAGGGGCATGGACTACGGGCAGCACCCAGAAAGACTCAGGACTAGACCGCAGCCAAAGGAAATAGCGAGTGGGAGCTGGGGCCTCCCAGAGAAGCACCGAGTCAGGGCAGGACGTGGAGTCCGGCTTCACCCCGCAGCAGAGGCAGTCGGTGGCAAAGGCACAGGCTGCGGGACAGAGGAAAAGGCCCGGGGGACTGCAGACGAGGCTGCTGTGATCGCCACGCTACGTCCCCTCGAAACGCTCTACGCCCAAGGAGAAGGCCCTGAGAGGCAGTGTCTTTGGGAGGTGATAGATGGGGTCACAGTCCCAATCAAGGAGGCACTGGAGAGCTCCCCTGGCACCCCTCACCCCCACCCCCACCCCCCCTACACACAGTGCAAGGCTACGGGGAGAGGGTGCCTTCAGGAGGAGCTGGCCCTCACCGGGCACCGAATGTGCTGCCCACATCCAGGAGGAACTGTGGTCTAGGGACTGTGGATGGATGAGAACTACGGGTCAGGTGCACGGCAAGCACCCAGCACAGTTCAGCCCTTGTCATTACACCGTTCAGAGGTGAGACCGTGAGGGTCTGAACGAGGGTGGAGGAGACAGCAGTGCGGAGACTGGCAGCTGGAGCTGGGGACCAGGTGAGCTCCAATGACTGAGTCCTGCACCTGGGTAAGAAGGGCCCCAGGAGGACAGAGACACCAGGGGGTGGGCGTGTTCCAAGTGGGAAGCAGTGACCTAATGCAGCCAGAGGACCCTGAGCTCTTAGGTGTAGTCACTCTGGAGCACCTCCAACGTCAACTATGTAATGTAAACAGTGGGCACTCAATAAATGCACACTACTCTGTACTTGCAGTGAAGCTCTTGCTGCCAAAGCCTCTGACTACACTCAGTGTACCCAGGCATCCTGGCCTCTGTCCTAAGGCTTCCTCAGGCTCCCACAGGACTCCCAGCACTGCAGGGTCTGATGTGCCCTCAGGCTGGGCTCCTGTAAAGGTAGGTGAAGGTTCATTTCCCTCCATCCCAGGGAACCCAGGGACTATGCAGGGGGCAGGCACTAAGAGTGGGCAGCGTTTGCATTTCTTGACCTTGAAAGTGAGTATGTCCCTGTGTGAGCATGAATTTAGCTGAAAGCCAGCGTCATGGCAGATCCACAGACGCCCGGCTGAGCAGCCGCAGAGGCCAGAGAGGGCACAGGAAGCAGGCCGCAGTTAATACTGAGCTCCCAAAGCCAACTGAGGCGGGCAGGAGAGGCCCACGCGCAGGGCGCCCTGAGCGGAGCTAATGCAGCTGCCGGAGAGCGCGGGCTTGTGAGGGCGACATGTCCTTTTGCTGCATTTCTGGTCTGGCAGGCCGACAGCGACGAGCGTTCACACAGGAGCTGGGGACACTGTGTCATGCCTCCTGCCACCACAGGGAACAGAGCCAGGCACTGGGTGCCAAGGAGCCTTGCCCTGGGGTCCCTGGGCAGAGCCTACTGATGACACTTCACATCCCTCACCATGGAGGCCTAAAGCTCTCTGCAAGATGGCACTATCTAAGGCCACAGTGCTCCCATTGGCAGGTCCCCGGACAGAGGCGCTGGCTGCCATTGCAGGCTCCACCCTGGTCACTCTTCCTACCTAACTGAGCGCGGGCTCAGCTTCCTCCTCCCCTAAGCCGTTTCCCTCCCTGGCAAACACCCTGGCAAACACCCTGGCGAGGTGGCGCGGGGCCCGGGCACTGCCAGGGCTTCTTACTGTATTTGGGCCTCAGCTCCATTCTCTCCTGTTCGTCCATGTTGTCCAGGATGGTGTACTTCGTTTTCTTCCTTATTTTAGTCCTTTTTTGTCTGAAAGGAACAATGAAAAGCTCAACTCAGATCCGTCACTGGGACCCAGGGTTGGGGACACTGGGGAGCAGACACTGAGGAGGTATTGGCCTCTGGTGTTAGGAGTTGACACTTCGGCTCCGCACTATGAGACCCAGGGCAGCTGGAGCCCAGCAGGGCCGGCACGGGCCTCGCAGAAGCCCCCTGCAGAGAGCAGCAGGAGAATGTGCCAGGAGTGGGAGAGCCAGCCCTGGGCCTGTAGCCAAGGGCTCTGAGGGACGGAGCCCGAGAGCAGCCCCCAAAACCACGGGTCCAGGGAGCTTTTCCTTACTAAGGAGAGAAGCCTGGTGAGCAAGCTTCCCCCAAAGCATTAGCACCTCGGAACGTCAAAGATGCAGGAATCAAACCGGCAATCAGAGAAGGAAAAACAGCAGAAATTATACTACAGGACGTTCCCAAGTTTAGTCGTTGCTTTAGCAACAAGTCAGACATTCACTCTGTATCACGGCGCCTGACAACCAGGCTGGAAGACGGTTTGAAACACATCGAAACCAGGCCAAGGTAGGTAAAGAGTGCGGGCTTGTGAGGTCGACATGTCCTTTTGCTGCATTTCTGGTCTGGATTACCTTGAGTAATCTCAATTTTCTGATCTCGAGGTGAATAAGAGATGGGCCTCTCACCCTCAGGCTAGAACCTCCTAGCTCTGGCTTTGAGAATTCTCCTAGACTGCGGTGCCTCCATGTTCTGACCTGTAAAATGGGGACAAGGATGGTCCCTTTCTTCTCTGGTTGCTGGGAGCACTACACGAGATGACACGAGACAGGCCTTAGCCATGTCACCACCCTCACCGTCTGCTTGATACACAGGACCCAAAGCCGCGGGCCACAAGCAGCACGGGACCCCATCCCAGGTGGCACCAGGAAAACCAGATGGACCTCAGCCTCTCCCTGGGCCTGGGCCTGGCTCTCCCTCACCATCCTACCATGGGGCCATGAGCACAGGTAAAACTTGAATAGAAGTGACTGCTGAAAAGAAACTGTCAGTTTTAGTACATCTACCTTTTTTTTTTTTTGTACTAAGGATTGAACTCAGGGGCTCTCAACCAGTGAGTCACATCCTCAGCACTATTTTGTATTTTATTTAGAGAGAGTTTCACGGATCACGGCGTGCGCCCACCTTAGCTCACCTACTCTTTATCACACATTTGGAGCACATTTTTAGAGACTCATAGAAAAATGGACCCGTGCAGGCTCCTAAGGACTAGGTGACCACTTCCCCCTAGTCTCTCAGAGGGCCGAGTGCAGGGCTCAGGGAGATTCCGACAACCAGGAGCCGAGGGGCTTCTGGGCACCCCATGGAGAGAAGAAAGAAAAACAAAGCGAGGTTCTCTTTGGTGATATTAGATTAGAAGAGACTCAGGCCCGACTTGGTGGTGCACACCTCTAATCCCAGCAACTCGGGAGGCTGAGGCAGGAGGATAGTGCCAGGGACCAAAAGGGAGTTCTCCTTCAAAGAATAGCCTGACAGTGCCAGGGACCAAAAGGGAGTTCTCCTTCAAAGAATAGCCTGACAGTTACAAGAAACAGCCCCCTAGGAGACATCTCGCCTGGGAGACACCCTGCAGCCATCCATCTCCCTGAGACATCCTGC